TTATATTTTTTAGCCTATTATAAAAGGATATAATAATATTAAAATTAAAAATTTAATAATATAAATTTAAAAAAGACGTTTTTTAAAAATATTACTAAGAGTATACTTTTTACTTATTAAAAATAGCTAAATTTAATATTTTAAAATAGATTTTATAATAATATAGGATACTTAACTTAATTAAAATAGTATAGTTTAAACTATAGGATCCGAGGGGTTTTAGAAATAACCTCTTATTAAATAATATTACTTTTTTTATAAGCTAGCCTTATATCCTAATTAAAGTAAAATATTTTAAAAAAAGTATTATTTAAAGTTTACTTAAGTATTTAAAATAAGTATTTATATACTCCTAGCTTATAAGTACTTCGTTCTTTATATAAGCTTAATAAAAACATAGCTCTTAATTACTAATTATATCTTATATAACGTTAATAAGCTAATATAAATAACTAAGACTATTTAAAAAATAATTTTTAATATTATTATTACTTAACTTAATACTAAAAATAATACGAGTATTAAAGTTTTAGTATTTTTAAATAAAATAACGGGCCTATTATATTTTTAAAAATAGGTATATTACGTAGAGGTATTAGAGAATTAGGTATTAGTTATTAAACTCTTTATAGAGCTTAGTCTAGGCTTTTTTAAAAATATACTTAGTCTTAGTAAAAATAATAAGCTTTTATATTATAAAAACCCTACGATATATATAAAAAGGGGGCTTATTAATAAGTATATTAATATAAGTCTTATCTTTATTACTTAGCATAGCTATTACTTATATTAATAACTAATATCCTTTATTATTAAACTTATTATTATTATTATTATAACTACGGTCCTTAACTTACTTTTACTTAGCCCTAAGTATAATATTAAAGTTAATATAATAAATATAAAGTTATTACTAAACGTCCGAGAATTATTCGTTTAGTATAGCTTTTATTTATTTATTATAATTTATAATAATAATAATAAAGTAACGGACTAAGTATTAGTTTATAAATTAGTAAATACTTATTAAAAAAAACCGGAAACCCTCTAGTTTTTTATTATTAATAAAGCCGAATATAGTATTATAAATAGATTTAAAATAAGTTTACTTAGTAACTTAGAAAAGAGGGAGCTTAAAGTAATTAATATTATAAATATTATTAAAACTAATTACCTTAGGGAATCGCTTTTATATTTAGAAATAATAAAAAAAAGTTTAAATAAAGTTAATAAAGTAGTTTAGCTCGTTATTTACTTATTTTACTATATATAAAATATCTCGCTCGTTAAATAGCTTAATTAATACTATAATTAATAAGTATTTAGCTAGTTTTTCTTAGTTTATACGAGCCCTAGCGTTATAAATATCTTATTAAGTAAATAAAAACTTTAGGAACTATTTTTAAATAATAGTATATACGTTATGCGCCCAAATCTTAACTTATTAACTTATAGTTTTAATAGTATCTTTAACTAGCTAAGTAAGCTTATAATAAAAAAGGTATATAAATACTTTAAGGCTAGGCCTATAATTATATTAGTTATATTAGGGATTTTTATATTATTATAATAACTATTATCCCTCGACCTTAGCCTTAGTAATTAACTTTTATTTATAATTATATTTTTAAAATCTCCGTTACTTTAGACTTATATTATAGCTAGGCTTAGGATATTTATATTAGTCATATTAAAATATATACTAAATATTCTTTTTATTTTACTTATACCCGTAATATTTTATAATATTAAAATTATTAGCCTTAATAAAAGTATTAACTCGATCGAAAAGAGTATTCGTTATTAGCTCTAGGCTACTAAGAATTAGTAAGTTTATGGTTTTATTTAAAAAAGGGGAAAAGGATTTATTACTTTAGGTATAATAAAAAGCTATGGTTTAAAAAAATAATAAATTTAAAAAAGGGTTTTATTATAAAAATAAATAAGGTAATAAGTTTATTTAAAAACCCCACGTTTTTTATTGTAAACAGCTTTGTTTATATTATTAAATAAGGCTAGTTATTAACTTTTTATTAATCTTAATAACTTATATAATAAACTAAAAAATATTATTAAACTATTTTATAATAGGCTAGGTAAGTTATTAAGATTTATTAAAAAAAAGAGAGAGATTAAGTTCTAATAATATTTAGAAGAGGGTAGTATACTAAGTAGTTTATATCCTTTTTAAAAAATAGCGCGTAAAGTAAAGTATAAGCTATTTAAACTTTTTATTAAAAAGGAGAGGATTGCGTATTAATAAGAATTAGGGAATAGTAAAAAGCTAAAGAATATTAGTTTTATTAAGGAATTTTTAATTAAAATAGAGGGTTAGTTCTATTTTAATATATTAGTATAAATAGTAAAATAATAGTCGCGTTTTTTATAATAGCTTAGGTAAGATATTATTTATTAAGTTACTATATATAAAGGATCGCTAACTTTATAAAACTAGCTAATATTAATATAGCTTTTATTTAAAATAAGAAACGATAGTATATTATTATTATTAGAGCGTTAGCGTTTTATAAAATAGCTTTAATTATTTAGGTTATTAAATTAAGCTCGGTAATATAGGCTTAGTATATAAGCTATTAAAAGAGCTATTTTATATTATATAAACTAATATAGCCTTAAAAAAAAGAGGACGTAAAATACGTTAAGTTAATAATAGTTTCGTAATAAAGCTCCTTTAAAGTATAATTATATAAAAGAGATTATAAAAAGGGATAAGTATTTTAAAAAAAAGTAGTAGAATCTAAGTATATTAATAATAAATTTTTAAACTAATTAAAAATAGAGAATATTATACGTCCTTAAGAGCTATGCGTCCGTATTAATTCGTTATACGTCCCTATTAATTCTTATTAAAAATAGCTTCAAAATTACTTATATATTAATAAAAAATATCTTAATAAATAGACTTATTAAAAACTTTTTACGAACTAAGTTCAAATATTTTTATATACTTCTTAACTTTTATAATATATAAAAAGTTATTATAAATAGCTAAAATAGTTAAAAATAATTAATTTAAGCTATGCTTAGAAAAATATAATACTTAAAAATAAATAATAAACGGAACTTAAAGTACGGCCTAGAGGTTTAAAATAAATAAAATAAAAACTTTTCTTAGCCTAAAGCCCTAAACTCCTAAAATAACCTTATTTTATAAGGTATATATATATAAAAATAAGACCCGGGTTTATACTTACTATTTAAACTCCTAGTTTATAAAGTACGTAATTACTAAGAATATAGCGTTATTAATAAAAAAGGTAAGTATGTACGTTAAGAACTACGTTTTATATATTTTAAAGTTTATAAAACTAAAAATAATAAGAATAATAAAGGGTATAAGAAATAAAACGATTATTAAGTTAATAACTTAGGGTATAAGAGCGGGTAGTACGATAAGAAGTTAGTTATAAACGACTATAATAAGTATAACTAATAATATAAATATATTTAATAAAGGGGGCTAGGGGTACTTAGAGAAAAAGCTATTTATTTAAAAGCGGATATAGTTCTCGTATATTTTAATATTATTATCTATTTAGTAAATAATATTATAGCGCTTAGTAATATTTTATTAAAACTATAATTAGGAATACGCATTTTAATAATAAAAAAGAATAATATATTTATAAAAGAGGGAGCGCTATTTATAATAGCTTTAGTAAGGGCCTAGGTTATTAATTATAAAACGATTAGTATATTAATATATTATATAGCCGAACGGCTATTAAAATAGCGCGTATACTAATTACTACTTTTTATAAAATAATAATTACTATTTTTATAATTAGTATACTAGAGGGCTACTTAAAAATAGGGTATATATTAAATATTTTATTCTTTAAGAGCTTCTTTTTTAAGCTTTTTAAAAACTAAGTATATATTAAATAAGTATAAAATAGTAAAAAGTACTATACTTATTACGGGGGGTATTTTTATTTCTTAACGTTCTTTTTTACTTTTTACTACTTTTTTAAAAAAAGCTAGCTTTATATTTTTTAAACTCTAAAATAATATTAAACATAAATTCCTAAAATAATAAATACATAATATACTTTTTTTATAAAGCTTATTATTTAAACTAATTTTATTTTTATTTTTAAACTCCGAGGGGGGGATAAATAAAAGCTTTTTAAAACTCTTATTATTACTATTTATTTTATTATTACCCTTATTATAATTATTAATAAGAGTTTTAAACTTAATAAAGTTCTTAATATCTCGATTAGTAACTTTAATATCCTCTTAACTAGAGAGAAAGAGCTTAGTAACCGGGCCTTAATAAGTAAATAAGAAGTTATAGAGGGGGGTAACGACTTAAAGAGGTTTATTAATATTATTACTTATTTAGACTTTTAATAAACTATATAATAAGTATATAAAAAGTATTATAAAAATTATATAAAACTTATTATTATTTCTAAATATATTAAATATTTATATTTAAAATAAAATTAATAAATAATTTAATAATATAGGTGCCCGCGCGTAGTAAATAGGAGTATTTATAATAATTACGAGAGGTTAAAAAAAAAATAATAGCTAAGTAATACTACGAGAATTTAAATATATATAAGGTAGCTAAGTAGCCTCGATTTTAGTAATTTATATACTAAAAATAATAAAATACGCACTATTCTAAGTTAGGATTCTATTTATTTTAAATAAAAGGATATATTTATAATAAACGTAGTTTAAAAAACGCATATCTCTTATACTTATTTTTTTTTATTTATATTTAACTAAATCGGGCTTTTATAAAAGTATTTAAAAATTCTATTTTAAGTATAATAGCTCTTTAATAATAATAATTAGGGAGTATATTACGTAATAAAGATAGTAACCGTATTTTACGAAGTACCCGTTATGTACTAAATTACGTATTTATTTTAAATATTATATATAAACCTTTTCTTTTTATCTATTTCTAATTTAATATATTAAGCTACTTTTACTATACTCCGTATGCCCATTGCTACGTGCTATAACTCGTGACAGAATGAGAGATCCCACCCAGCGCGGTAGTCCAAGTCTCCAACTCCCCACCCTTGGGAAGCTTCTCCAGCTCTAACTTCATGTCCCCGTAATCCTTGGAAAACAGATATACTTGGCGAAAGATAAGGGCATAAGCCAATTCGGTCAGTTTTCCTAGAGGCCCATTCGTCATTCTCCCACAAAAGACAGCGGGGATCCCCTGTTTGGAGGATCAATAAAGTTTGAAGACGCTCGAATGCTTTCAGGCCTTCACCATAATGGATGTCAATTTTGACATTGAGCAAACCAAGCAAAGAATATGCTGCGTCCTCTGTCTGTCGTACTGTTCTCCGAGAAGCCCATTTTAGAACAGAACGAGGAGAATATTGGAGCCATGACCGGTAGCTTTGGAGAGTGAACGTGCTGTCTTTGAGTTGATAAATAACGTTCTTTGGCAATGATGTTATACCCGAAATATCATCCACTGCCTGATAGTTTGACATGAACCATTTCCATTCCCGAGAGAAGAAGCGAATAGTACGAGGTGCAATGAGCTCCTGTAACGTCCAGCCTCTTTTGAACCATTGACAATCCCTGATCCTGCCAAGAAAAAGGAAGTGCTGATCTCTACCAAACGGAGACCTTTCGGGAACTTTGGTGTCCTCTAGGTATGCGAAACACATCTCAGAATTTTGATACCACTCAAACATAGAGTTGATGGCGAAATTGAGTTCATCGTAATTTGCCTTATCGATGCAAACAGTGTCTGCCCACGCCCATTCGTAGCCGCTCTCTCGACATTTGAGACAAAAGTTAACGATTTTGGCATAACCGTTCTTTCTCTTTGTCTCCGCGGTATGATTTGCAGAGCTGCAAAACTCTTGGAAGTGACATTCCTCGGCTTCGTCTCCCCAAACGTGAGAAAAAATAACGTATGGTGGGATAGAGTGGTCGGGAAACTCCTTGAGCTCAAGGGTGTTGGTGTTGATGAGGCGCATCTTCGCAACGATTGAAGCTCAGTGAGATGTTTTGTATAGGATTAAACGAGCCTGTAATTATGTTGCTCCGGCCTCAACTCAGCACATCAGTCTGAATTGCTAAGCCTTTGTCTCAATGTCGGGTGTCGATGCTGTTGGAAACTCTCGATTCTAGCAAGATGGCCCGCTGGTAGAAACATCCAGTCTGGTCTGTAAGCAGGGGTTCATTACCCAGTATATTGTACAATGTGATCTTGAAAATATTGGTAAACTTAACGTACCTCTCGTGTGCAGAATACTGAATCGTTCCAACTGACTCTTTCAACAGGCTTGAACAAGCATGGGATCTTTATGCCAGTGTCAGGCAAAGGCGCCGGCCGCCATGTGGGGAAGGCAAGGTTATAAGGAGTGACCGGGAAATCCTGCCTGAGATGAGATGCGAGGTGCCCAATAAGGCACAAGCATCGCGATCAGTCCTTTCTAAGCTTACTGGACCATGCCTAACTCCTCTTCGCAACTCATTGGCACAACAATCCGTGCGCGTGATGAAGGATGGCAGATGCAGCACTTTGTCAGGTCCTATCCATTGGCATTGTACATCTGCGTGGCCTCACTTTTGTTGGCTGTACACTCCTTGGCCGGGCGACTGTGGGCGATGGTCAAATAGCGCTGCTGCGCCACTGCTTAGCTTCGTTGCGGGCGCCGATACAACGATACACGCAAGCGAAGCAATGAGCAAGCCCTGGATGGTCACTTCACTTTCCTTTCCTTGGCGTGTTGAGTTGCTGACCGTCCTCATTGCTAAGGCAGGCTGCACTTGTCAGATTGCTAGGGTGGTAGCTGTTGCGCCAAATAAGGTAGCAACCGGAAATGTGCGTCAGTGATAGAGACATGCCCTCTCTGAGATCGAAAGGTTTCATTCTGTACCACATACATCGAAATGGTTGATGTCATTGTCTGATTAAGGTAGTTGGGCGCATAGCGATTTTGACTTCTGCATGACTTCTCCCACTAATATTAACGGGGAGAGCACACATGCAGCCATTCCACGGTCAGATACGAGATCATTCTTCCTTCATCTTTTTATGCGCGTCTGTGTTAAGCTCAAGGCAGATGCGCAGTCTTATGGCCACTCGAATCCCATGATTGCTTAGCCATATTTGGTGTACAGGTGTCCGATTTGACTGGAGGTGGACCCTCGAGTTCTCCGATCCTCCGGTGTGAGACCTGGGCGCCGGTCGCGATGTGGGGCCAAGACCGGTCCGAACTGCGGGTAACCGCAAGGTGTCCGTCCCTCATGAAATTCTATTGAACATCTATTGTGAAAAGCCTGCCTGAATTTTTGAGATTAGTCTCACAACACCTTAGCTCACATCAATTCTACGATAATGTGCTCCTTCTTGAGCCATTGCTTCTTTGCGCCTCGTCACTCACTCACCCTTTGGAGTTCAGACCTTCCAAGCCCACTACTATGGTGCAAGTGTGTTGTGTTGTGACATCATACCACGTCTTGCACCTTGGACAAAGTTTTCCATCAATTTCCTTTGCACGCGAGAGCTACTGGGAGCACGGGCGATTTTCTCGTGAATTTTGTCGATGTCAAAATTACTACTTTCAAGCCGATTGAACGATGCACACGCGGTCGCTCGCGCACACGCCTTGCTATTAAAACGCCTTGAGGGGAGGAGCAGCGACCACTACCATTAGTGTGGATATACACATACAACAGAGAGTGAACAATTTGCGATCTTTCGAGTCAAGAATAATGCCATTTGAGAAAATCATCATCATATCAGAACAATCGCGCCTGCGAACCATGCCGCTACTCATACAAAAACGCCTAGCCAATCCCACCTCCGTCGATGTCATGCACTATCCCTCGGCTGTGAATCTTTGCATCAACTAGTCCCACATTCGCCCTTTCAAACAGTGCTCATGTGGTGGCAGCAGCAAGTCCAATCGCCACCGGGCTCCTGCTTCCAAACACTATTGCAAATTCCCTCCGTCGCGACAAGCTTCTTCCCCTCCTGGCGCCACGCGGTGACCCGGTACACCAAGCTGGAGCTCATCATGTCAATCTCGACAAACTCGGGGTCGTCGTGCATGCGGTACGCCGTCCAAGGCTCCCAATCCTCCTCGAGGTACTCCTGGAGCGTCGGCTTGGATTTGGGCGAGAGGGGCTTCTGGCCCGGATGGGCGAGGACGGCCTCCTTGTCGAGATATCTTTTCAGGTGCTTTGTCTTGCTGTCGCACATTGCGCGCCAGAGGAGGGTTTCGGCTTCGATTGTGTCTTCCTTGTTGCGGGAGTAGATGGTTCCCGATCCCTTGTTCTCGTCGTCGGACATTGTGGTGGTGTTTTCGTGTGTTTCTTTTCTATGGTGTTTTCTGTGTATTCCAAGACTGTTTCAACTTTCTCGTGCGAGTATTGTACTGGTCTATCGCGGAGTTTTCAATGGTCAATGGTCAGAGTTCAGTAGAGTGAGGGGAACGGGAGCAAGTTAGAAAGTGCACCAGAGAGCTTTATGATGTCGCCCAGAGCTCTGTCCTCCCTAAGCAGCGGCATTGCGTGTGACGGAGTCGTCCAAAAACCGGAAATCCTGGGTTTGCTTGCGTTGCGTTGCGCGTCTGATTGGGCGGGCAGGGAAATGCTCCTGTGTTGGCGGGCTTGACGTCACACTCCGGTGATGCGCAGCGGCGAAGAGGGGCCACCAGCGGCTCATTGCGGGGGAGCATCAGCCGTGAGAGACAGGGGTTGGAACTTGGAAACAGGTTACTTCGACAAGGTCTAGACTCTCTTCTCTCCCTTCACACTCTCAGTCTCGGTGAGTGCTGGGAAAGGTTCGACAGGGCATGCGACCTCTGATGTAACGCGTGCACTGACGGGTCCGGGGGCAACCCGGCCGAGAAGGTTCATCCACACGTCGCGGTTTCGACGTCTTTGATGAGTTGAATGTTGCGCTAACTAGCGTTGTTGGGCGCGGAACGTCAACGTTGTAGTCGGCTCCGCCCGTCAGATCGTGGGCCACGAACAATAGCTTCGATCTATCGTTCAACGTCCCCATCGCGGCGTAAGGGCTAGACTGGCCTGTTTCTAAGGTCGCTTTCTAGTGTCGCAGAGCTTTTGAACTTACAACAGGTGAATAGCGAGCGACAGTGAGTGAGATTCACGTCCACTGGCTTCAGTGGGCTGGTTCATTTCATCATGTTTCATTCAGACTGATGGGCGCGCACCTCATGAGCTGCTCACTCAATCTCACCGAGCAGTCCATTTGTCAAGGCTCAAATGAGCTCCATGAACGCGGAGACTTGTCAAGAAATTTTCTTCCCATTTGCATCTTTTATCCTTCTCCTGACGATCTCAGCGTGGAACTCCTTCACTAGCTGTTATGTCAAGACATGATCTCAAAGCCGGGCGCTCGGGTCATTTGAGCTACTTAAGAAATGACGTCAAGACTCGCATTTTTGGACAGCAATTTGCGCCTTTGAGTGTGAATGCGCCAACGCAACTGAACACTCACTATGAGTACAAATGTCAAGTACCTAAATCGATTGAATTACACCACACACAATGGATGACTGGCAAGACGCAGCTTTTACATCAAGACATGTCCACAACAGGGCAAACAAGTCCAACAAAGGGGGCGGGCGAGGACGACGCGGTGGAGCCTTCGAGGTCAAGAGAGCATTTGGTAGATACGACATCAAGTGTCCGAGTGCGACCAAACTGAGAGGACAGAAATCAGAGGGAGGAAAGGGAAAATCTGCTGGTCCGTCAATGGATATCTTTCGGCTGTCGGAAGATGGCAGGGGGTTATTGGGACAGCTGAACCTGCCCGGGGTTCTCGATGCTAGCATCATTCTTACCGGAAGCAGAAAGGTTCTCGAAGACCTGATATCGCAGTTTGAAGGGAGCGACGAAGAGGCTGATATCTCCGACGACCCTAATGAGAAAGATGGCTCGGTCCCGAGACACCATGTTAGTGAGGATGAGACGAAGGCAGACAACGATCTAGGAACAGCAGGGGGCTATATCGACAAGGAAGGGGAGGAAGTCAACGAAGAATCGGAAGAAGAAGAAGAGAGCGAAGCTGAGGAGCAGAAGCGGTTCAAGAATTTCGAGAAGAACAGCTTTCGATCTCCCAAATTCTGGTTTCAATGGAACGGAGACGTCACGCCTACCACGACACCCTCGCTACATAACGCTACGCTACCAACACCTACCGGGGAGACTGGAAGAGGCTATATTGTGTTCTCTGGAAATGACTGCCGCTCTTTCAAGGGGACAATCAGCTGCGATTCTCTAGGCTGGAAGGATGTCTCAATCTCTGGGTGGAAGGAGGTGTCCATGAGCGAGAGGGACATAAGCTTTGTCTGGAAGTAATAAATCAACTCAAGGCCAGAAAGGATCTCTGATCATTTTGATGATAAAGGTTGGCGCGGCTTTGAGGTAAAACTCATTGATTTCGGAAGGTAATGATTTAGAGAGTGATCCGCGAGTCGTTTTGCCTTCAGGGGTCGACGCAATTACCGCCCTATCGAACTCCTTCCATTACCAGTCTCACTCTCCATTATTCAAGTCTTGACTTCATTCCCAGCCATCTTCGCCTGCAAAGCAGCGTACATCCTGTTCATGGCATTACGGTTGAACTCCTCCCCAGTTACCATCGGATACTTCTTCAGCGGGCCCTGTATGACAGCCTCCTTACACGGCTGGTTGAAGAAAGCCATGCTATATCTCTCCCCGTAGTAATCCCCCTCTTCGCAGGGCGCCTTGACTCGATGGTAAGTGCTCTTGAACCGGTCGTCGCTCCAACTCATGAGCAAGTCGCCGATATTACATATGATGACTCCGGGCTGGATCTCGACCTTTGTCCATTGGTCCCCCAGGGCATGCTCGCTGAAAGCCTCACGACCAGGACATATCTCGAGTCCTGATTGCCCTTCGCGTTGAAATAGCAGCGTCAGAAATCCCCAATCCGCATGGGCGCCTGCTCGATGATACACCTTTCCATCGTTGACGC